GGGGCGCCTCCCGCCGCCAGCCTTGCAAAACCGCCCTTGTTCTGGGCGAGGAAGTTTTGACAGGAGTCAGTTAAACCACCGGTATTTTGATTTCTTTTTTTGTTGTTGCTAGTCGTACGCAGAGAACACGAGGCATTTCTTTGCTACCTGGCTGCTGAATGCCGCCGTCCCCCGTCGGTCGTACGTGAACAGACCCTGGCTCGTAACGACGGGAGTTTGTGTTCTCTGCGTCTCTTCCAGATACGGGTTTGGAGTGTCCTGTGTGCAAAGAGGACTACACAGTAGCGGAGCAAGTTCGGCAGTTACCGTGCAATCACTTCTTCCACAGCAACTGCATCGTGCCGTGGTTAGAGCTGGTAAGAGAGAGCCTCTGCCCGCCGGCGACCGGGGTTCTTCGGGCTCCGAGAGATGCCGCGTCTCCGAGCCGAGCCCTGCGTGTCCCATGGGATGAAACCCTCCTGGTAAGGCCGCCATCCGAGCGGCGTTTCCCTGAAGCTCCCGTGTTTCTCTTGCAGCACGACACGTGTCCGGTGTGCAGGAAGAGCTTAAAAGGCGAAGATTCGACTCGGCAAACACAAAACCCCGAGGCCTCAGCGAGTAACAGCTTTAGCAGTGAAAGCCAACTACACGACCGATGGACTTTCTGACGCTCGAGGGTTTCCTCGGGGGCTCTGGCCGGAGTATCGTTACTACAGACGTACGTTGTATTATAATTCAAACAAACAACAACAACAACAACAAAAAGAGTAGCAGGAAATATAGGGCAGGGGAGGGACACCCCCCCCGTGGTATTACTGCAACGAGTGCTGTCTTTTTCCTGAAACTTTAAACTAGCCTCTCCGAGCGCGTCGCGTCTCCATCGGAATCGCCTCTTTAGTCCTAAATTCAGAGTCCTTTGAGTGATTTGACTTGATTTTAAACTTGTGAAACCTTGACTTCAAACGTGGCCCGTCTGAAGGGGGGAGTGAGCCGGCGCAGGGGGGGTTTGGGGAGACCCCGCCTGGGTCCCGAGATCTCTCCTGCAGCCTCCTCGGCGCAGGGTCGCCTCCCCCCCGCCCTCGCTCCCCAAAAAGGTGGCAAATTTGGGTGGGGAAAGCGTCCCCCTTGTAGTAAAGGAGGGGACGGAAAGGAGAAGATTTTTGGACTTCTCTCCTCTGGCCCCTTTCCCTGCCCCTCGAACCGGGTGGGTGGAATCAAATCCAGGAGGGTTTTGTTGACTGTTTTGTTTTTTTTTTGCCCCCACTTCTCTCTGAAACACCGGTGTCCATAAACCAGCGTTCTAGTTTTTCAGCAGGGAGAGGCAGAGATGAAGATGGAGGCTGCGAAGGCTCCTGGAGAGAAGGGTGGTTGGGACGCGCAGGAGCCACCCCCGTTCTGGGAACAGGAATGCACCAAGCAGGAGTTTCTGTCTTGTCGTGGACCTTTTTTTTATTTTATTTTTTTTTTCTCTCTTCTTTGGGGGCTTTTTGGTTTTTTTGAGGCCCTTCTCCGTGTGCCTGCGTCCCCAGGCCTGCCCGAACCTGTCCCCCACCCGCCGTGAGAAAAAAAACGTAGCTGACGTGTATCGTATGGACCACATTAAAGGCATCCTCTAGGAAAACAGACCTGACCACATCGCCGTTTTAATGGCCGATTCCTCCGTGTTTAACTCCCGATCTTAATTCTCCCGTAGTCCGATAACTTTAAGAGAGTCTTTATTTTTACGGATTATTTTTGTCTGTTTGGGTTTTTTTTGTTTTGTTTGGTTTTTTTTTTCCACTTCTGTAACATTTCATCCATGTTTGACTTCTTGTTTTTATCGTCCGAATAACGTCTGTGCTTACGGCACCCACTAAACCACCACGTGGCAATGTTAAACCCCCGGCTCGGCCTAGCAGGGAGAGGTAGGTCGCGTCTAAACATGTTGCCGCTTCATTGCTGTAAACAGTGTACTACGTACACTCGATTTAAACTAGTGTTTTGTTTGCTATTAAGTCCAATAAAGGCCTTTATAAAGAAGACCAGATGTGGAGAAAAATTGTTGGGGCTGGAAGAGGTGGCTGAGGAGCTCAGGGGTGGAAATAAGGTCGGGGGGGTGGCTGTAAAGGGCT